CGCCCCGCCGAGCCCCCGCCGGCCACCCGCCCCACTGAGGACGCGGAGGAGGAGGAGGAGGAGGAAGAGGCCTGGGTCTGATGGAGATGCCAGGGTGTTCCTGGACGCCGGTCCCTGGGAGGTGGATGCACCCTCGGGCACTGTGGAGCGGATCCATTGCAGCAGGTTTGGTTTGGACTCATCACTCCCAATCAGGCTGCTCTTACTGGTGTGGATGAAGAAATGGGGCTCAGAGTCACAAATGGAGAGAAGGCAGCACTTCGTGGCAGGAAGAGGAGGGCTGGGCTGCTGAGCGGAGCCGGTGCTGCCAGCACCCAGGTCCCCCAGCATCAACCTTCTGCACCTTTCCCTGTCTGTGTAATGGGACTAACAGCACTTACAGCACCAAAGACCTGAACAAACGTGTGGGATCCCTTTGATTTGCGCCAGCTGAGAGTGCCAGAGCAGCAGAAATGCTGCTCGGCTCTGATCGCATGGCCCCTGGGGCTGCCCAGAGTCTCAGTGGTTTCTGCCTTTGCTTCGCACTGCCCAGCACCGTGCAGCCTCTCCTCTGTCCAGAATGCCCATCCGAAACTTCCTTCCGTAACAAATCCCGGCATGGGCCAACAGAGATGGGATTTCTGGGAGAGGATTCGGTCAAACCCAGGGAGGAGAGGGCAAGGGGAACCCCGAGTCGTGCTCCCTCACCCCCCAACCTTCCTTTTCCAAAGCCTTGATGTCGAGTGAAATGAAATGAGAATGAATGAGGAGAGGCTGGGTGCGAATGTACGGGTGAGGATCAAGGCACTTGCATGCGGTGCCAGGTGCTGGCACCCACCTGGCTCAGTCCAATAGGACACAGGTGCTTTTCCAGCCACCGCAGCCCTGGTGCAAAGGAGAAACTAACCCCACTCTCCCAGACATTCCCTTTGCAAACTGCTTTGGGCAGCAGGATTTCTGCCAGCCCACACCAAAGGCCTGCAGGCTTCTCCCGTTCTCCCCAATTCCATCACGGTTTGGGGAATTGCTTTTTAACGGCCCTTTCTGGCTGCAACCGGCATCAGAAGTTGCCCTGGAGCTGGCGCATGAGCGGCTGGGCACTTGAATGACACCGGACACATC